TTTGTTATCTCTCTGCTGCACTCTAGCACATAGGTGAGTGTCTTGCTCCAACACCAAAGCAGATCTATTCATCAATCAGATTTTTGACTACTCAGTACAACAAAATGGAGAAGTCATATGGCCTGTGCGCAGTCACAAAGCTGTGAAACATCCAACACGGTCTCATCCTAGCGGTTGTGCACTTGCAAAATCAAGTTTTGTTTATGAGGTTATTTTGCCACCGAATCAAGACGTGCTTCATCAACTGTAACATACTTGAAGTAACAGCGCCAATCCCACTAGGAACAGGTGCCGACTCATTACCAATGAACTGCACAAGATCTATGCAGCTCGATTAGTGGGAACATACCCTCAATCATTTGGATAGAGTGAACTTGAGTGCAGATGGCATCCATCCAAGATGCTCTCGCATACCACAGCTTTGCTTCATCAGCAGAGGTGCTTATTTACTAAAACAACGTGAATCACTGGTGACAAGGAACCGGGCAGATATATGGTTGCTCACATGGGGGGTGATACCATTCGATGATTCAGTACAGTCTAATAGCATGGAGAACCCAAAAATAACGTCTTGAAACTTTGTAAAGTTGCGTGATAACCACATAGGTTGGAGTGAAAAACTGCACATTTCGTCCGGATTATGGAGTTTGAAACACTTTCATAGGTAATCTAGGGTTCCACTTCGGTATCCACAATCAAAGCGTCACGGTAGACAGCTTGCATAGAAGTTAGAAATGATTAACTTGAAACACTACGGTTTATCACTTAACCAACTGGACATTTGACCGAGGAGTTTGTTTGAGAACGGGGAGTTTTTCATTCAATCACAAAGTAATTATTAATTCTGACCTGAATGCTAGTCAGCTACAACAATGATAGTCCGTCTACTGTGGCTCCTGTGCAATCGGCTGTGAGCGCAATGGCTGCAGCAGTTTCGGAGTTTCTCTGGTCGATGTGGCGATTTGAAGAATAGTGAAAAATGGAATCGTATTACCAGTCCCACCGCTTTCAAAACATACGTAACTGAATCCTGACTGCGAGGTATGTTGACGAAAGGTAAAAGTCACACCTAAAGCGCGTCTGCGTTGACCAGATCCTTCGAGTAGCCAGGTAATTGGTGTGAGAAACATGCGTATCACCGCAGAGACCAGTCCAAAGTTGTCCTTCTCTGCGTAAGAAATGCGCTCAATAAACGCACATTTGGAAGCCAGGTCACTGCGTGGCCTTTTAGCAGACAATGCTCTGGACTCCGAAACTTCAAGCCTGTTTCGCCAGGTTCTTGTGTTAACCGGCCAAAGAGCCACACTTCTCGGAGCGCCGAATGCAAGTGCCTGCCAGAAGGCCGAAAGTGTCATGGAGATATAACTTCATAAGCTCAGATATAATATCCCACTTAATATGTACTAGTATCTATCACACACTTGTCTACTACTCGAAAATAACTAGTTTCGGTGAAGGACCACCCATATGTGTACATCAGTCAACTTCTCTGCAAACCCAGTTCATTCACCACCTTATTGCCAAGCGACCCCTAATGTTTGTTTTCAGAAGGACTTCGATAAAAGACCGCGTTTGGCAAGTAACTCCCGAATACTCTCAAATCAGTAGGTCCACGTCTACACGGAACTGCTCACCACTTGAAATTGAATCCTGGCATCGATATGAACCAAAAAATGTTTCAATCTTATTACATGAAGATGTCATTAAAGCTGCTGGTAAACGTAGTTTCTGAGAATAGGGTGAAATGGTTCATATGCCCCAGGCACAACTGCGAGCCAACTAGACTTTGTCAGATCAGACAAGGAAACAGGAATTTACGGCACTGACCATTGGACTGGATGCGAAACTCATTCAGATCAGTAGTCCCAAAGTCAGTGTTGACACAAATGCCCCTGAAGGCACGCTAGCTTTTTTAGAAAGATAATCGTCATAAAGCGGCGAAACGGTGAAACCGAAATTTTCAAGTTCGTGTACAAATTATATGAACCTAAAAAATTAGGACTATCCGTTTGACGTACTGTGAACCGTAGAGCAATCGAGACACGAACATGTTCAGATGACGCACCCGGTCAGTGCACCGGGAGATTACACGCGAGCTCAACCTGAAAGCTTCAAGCATAGTTCGTTTAATCCGCTTCAGTCACTTCACTTTATTAACGAATTCTGGTTCTGACTTGGAGCGTACTTATACTCGATGCCTGAGTTATTATTATGCCTTTGGCCTTTCACCTCGAGCTTAGTTGTAACGCACCAATTTGCACGTGAGGAATGAGGCTCGTTGTGGAATTCCCGCATGCGGCACGTATATTGTATTCCCCGAAAACACACAAGGAAGTAGGCCTGCCCTTCGGCAATGCCAGAAACATTGTATTCCGACGCGCGAAGCAAACACAGTGGGAGTTAGTTAAGAAAACTAATGGAAGAATACATGCGTATCGTGTAAAACACATGTTTCTCAACACTAAGTGCACTGCCGCACTGGGAAATGTCATGCTAACCGAACTTCGTGGCCACAACAAATCTACATAAGTAGCCAACAAATGAATGTCCAATTCAATGTCTTAATTGCTTTACCTGATAAATACACAATGGAAGCGTGATACAACCGTTGGGAAACCACGCACAACGTAGTGACGAGCTGGCTATCTGAGTGCATGAATTCGGAAGTGTAAGTGGGCGTGTTGTATAACACTGAATAGGATACAGGTACTTTACTTGTTGTTACAATATAAGATGATGAGTTCAACTCACTGCATTTCAAAAATATCAGTGAGGATAACATCAAAGACCCTGATTCTTAGTAGATCAGCCTACGTTTTTAGCTAGACTTGTCGGGTGACTAACCAATCGAATCACAAACACAATGCACACGTGAAGACGTACCACAAGCAGCAAAGCGTGAATCGATGTAGTTTGAGATAACTTCAGATTTTCCAGTACTAAGTTGGAACTCAGCATTGTCATCATCCACAGCACGTTTGTGTCGAGAAATGAGGCGTTGCAGCCAAAAAATCACAATTTATTTTAAAGCCTTTAAAAAAAGGAGTAAAAGTAATGAGAAAGAGAAGACGTACCACAAGCAGCAAAGCGTGAATCGATGTAGTTTGAGATAACTTCAGATTTTCCAGTACTAAGTTGGAACTCAGCATTGTCATCATCCACAGCACGTTTGTGTCGAGAAATGAGGCGTTGCAGCCAAAAAATCACAATTTATTTTAAAGCCTTTAAAAAAAAGGAGTAAAAGTAAATGAGAAAGAGACTTAGTGCTGAGCTATCACAATCACTACGAGGTGCCTAGTCCTCTAGATACTCGTTCGGACAATCTGGATAGAAACTGACAGCAAGAACGCCAATAGGTCATATCTTGCGGCTTCTACAACCATGCACAGGCGGAATCTTGTCCATCCTATACTGGGAGACGATTCGCCGCGAGTCTCAAGAATTTTACTAATGGATTTCATACCCCTCCGCTAAGTTAAAGAATGATCACCACTTTGCTTGGGTACGGAAAACGATACTCTTGTCGACAAACGATGATGTGGTGTGTACTACACATGTCCTACCCAGCGCAGCGTCTAGTGCTGAACACATTTTTTGTTGAGGTCTCTGTTGCACAGCCGACTCAATGTTATCATGAAGAACGAGAAACTGTGTTTGGAGTCCTTAAAATTGACTTCTCCAAAGTATGTCACTTGCAAATCCGAATTTGTTTGTAAATGAGTGTGTTTCGCTAATTTCATGAAATTTCAGTTCAAATAAAACATAAGGTTGACGGACATTTGGAGACTGCGCCTTCTTGATGAGCCCCAAGAAGGGTGAAACAAGTAGAGGGCTGTCGACGAATTTTCATCAACCTTGAAGGACATTAAGATAGAGGATTTTGGAACTTATGCGGAGACAATGTGGTGCATACCTGCCAGATAATAGGGCTTCGCTTCATAGACTGACTTTAGAGTGTCCAAAAGTTGAAGACACGTACTTTGTTTGGTGTTGTCAGACCCTAGTTCAGGATTTCTAGTAGAAAAAAGCTTTGGCGAGTATTTTAAAGCTGGTATGAATTTAAAACCATAAGACTCGAAACTTGTACCCTGAAGCTGCAGTGATGCCCAAGCAAAGGACCTCTGCCTGGTAAGGCTAAAACAGATCTATCAGTAAAGACAGAAAAAGAGGTTCAAGATTAAAACGCCGTTGGAGCTCGAGATAGCTGATTGGTCAAGGCACGGACCTACCGGCCGGAAAAGATGTGGTTCAAACCTAACCTCAGCATCTCGACCACGCCTGTCTAGGCTTGAGCAACCTAGCAGTGTCTCAGCTCCCGCACTTCCTCTAGGTAGCTTGACGTTACAGCCGAATAAAGGAAACACACTGTTGATATCATACAAGACGAAGGAACTGACTGCGAGAGCGGCCTAGAGCAGGTGTAAGCAGGAGTGGGAACAAGACTAGCATTTTTGAGTGAGGAAAGACGGACGAGATGTACACTGTCACAAGCTTCCTGAAAAAAGCTCACCAGGATCAACAAACCGAAAACCCGCAGCCATGCGAGACAAACTAATTTCTATTTTCTCAAAAAGTTTCTCTGCAATGCTGAAATAGAAATGTGTTTGTTGTTTGCACTATACGTGTCATCGTGCGGGTTTTGGGGGGGGTGGCTTGGTGTCCGATTTCAGTAGCACTCCACTCCCGCTTTAGCGTCGTATGTGTGGCTAAAGTGTATTTCCAATCAACAAAACAACACTTCTTAATAGTTTATAGTCGCTTCCAATGTTGCGTGATAACGGTTATCCCGGTTGCCGGCAACCTGAAGCTTAAAAGTTGAGATATACCTCACAAATACAGATCAATAACAATAGAAAACTAGCATATAGAAAATGTATACAGACCGACTGTGCTTAGGGTGCTTACAACCAGAGTTAAGAACATGGTGTAAAAGGTCAAAATTAGAAAGGGGACTCACAAAAATGCGGCATTCAAAACGTGAAATAGAACTTTATCGTCAATCAGACAAAGACTATCTGGGTTTTCACACGATTCCTTGGAACAGCCAGGCACAGAGAATGGTAGGTACGGGTATAATTCGAGTTAACGTGCAACACGAGTCTCTCTTCAGCCACAACCATATCAAAATTCATTTCTGTTTGCTTACTACTTACACCGCGACAAGGAGTGTGTTCAACAAATGGATATTTGTGCGCCAACTGGCGACACATCACAGCGGCGAATTTCGCGTTAGCCTCTCTTACATGTGAATAGCCAAATTTCAAACAGCGTTCGACTAATCCATATTTTATGCGGTTGAAAAGCCATGTATCTCGCGGTGCAGGGAACCAGTGTCTACCGAACGGTCGGAAATACAGCGGAAACACTATTTCATGCGGCCAGATGAAACGCTGTGCGGGTGATGAAGCAATATCCTTCACATGCGTTCCGTTTGATGTGAAATAACAAATGTCCATGAAAGGCCATCCATACATGCGTACGGGTCGACTTTTTTCTACATCCAGCTCTTTCTCCGCTTGGTTAATGAGCGGTCCATAAAGTTTGTCCCTGGGTTCACTGGTATAAAGATTGTAGTGAGGACGGAGTTTGAACAGAATTTGTCTAACTTTGTCTCGAATTGACACATCCACAAGAACATCAGCATCATCGTCCCATGGAATAAAATCATGATGTCGATAGGAACCCAATAGTGTCCCACCGTACAACATGAACCGGTCCCCCAAACCATTGGCAAACATGGTTTCGGAGAATGTATGTAGCAGTCTTCTGGTTAGTTTTCGTTGTGCGTCGCTCATCACTGGTTCATAGGCTGGAGGAAGTGGAAGGAATTCCCCTCGGAGATTTGTATTCCTTGCTGGATGCGCTGCAACTGGGTCTTCGGGCCAGTCGAGCGATTCCAGATCAACTAGGGATGCAGACACTTTCGGTGAGGACTGAGAAGGAAAGACGCGGAAATCATCTGGGTCTATGCTTGGGATGCCAGATGTATTGTCCGGTCTCCCAGCAAACACAAAGTGAATGATCTGAATTGAGTTGAAATGCTGCAACAAAGTGATCACCACGCCGATACAAGAGATCAGGACCAGGGCTTTGATGAATTTTAGTGACGTCGCTTGATTATCTGAATTTCCTTGACTCATTATGAGCAGCATCGTCGATGTTCAAACTGTTCCCAATAATATCCTGAAGATGAGTGAAACATTTGAGAGAAGGGCTTACCAAGCAATGCCATATTCAATCTAGGTAACCCTCACTCAACTGCGCACTGATGATGTATCCCCGGCTGGGCAGGAACTGGTTGCAATCTAATTGCCAAGCTCGGCGGCAAACAGATCAATGACCATCCGTTCGAGCAGCATTGCACACATCTATTTATCTGGAAAGCGTGGGTATTCTACATGAGTGAACCAAGACAACCAGCAACTTGTTCATTGCTGACAGAAAGAAATCGGCTACCTGCGTATGCTACAGTGTGTGAGTGATCAAGAAAGACAGTCCAATTCTTTTAATATATTGAAACGATGGTTATTCGGTAAAGACCTTCGAGATTCAGTCATATTTAGTTTATTAGATGTGTATATTACTCGCACTCGGCTCACCGGTCCCAATCGCTAACCCAGCTCAAGTATCAAGTATAAAAATGAATGATCAGACTTGTTTTCTGGTAATATTCGATCTGAGGACGGTCCATAAGCATACAAGGTTGACGGAGTTCAGAGATAAGTGGACTGACAAATTGCGCGTGCATGTATACATGTGTATGTGTGGGGTATGTGGTTACTAGAAAGTCCTCGTTGCAGTCCGAGCAAGTCACATGGCCCAGGTTTACGAGAACCAGATGTTTTTCGAAAAAGTTTGGTGACAATCGGTAGATTTACTGCTGGGCAACGTTCCACTTTTGACACAAAAGCTTCGTCACGCCAAGTGACTAGGTTCCGAGATTGGTGGAGATTTAAGGCGGAAGGAGAACCAGTCAGCTAAGTCAAGCTAAATCTCTGTTGTGTGTCGGCCGAGGGATTTTTGTGTGCTAGGGAGGGTGAACAAGTATTGGGTCGATGGGGAAACCTATATGTGTTTGGGTCCAGATGTTCGTCAAATATTCCCATTTTCAAGCCAGTTTGATTTTGACGGGAGACTCAAGTGAATCCCGACCGACTCTCTCGTTTATGATATTCTTCAACTGAATGTGCTGCAGAAGCGCCGCCTCATGTTTCAGTTGGTACGATTCTAGATATACCGCATCATATTTTCCTAATGGAAATAACTCCTGAGTTATGAAAGTTTTCAGCAAACTTGCAAGTAGTCTCCTTCAGGAACCAAATGTTTTCCGCGATTTTGTCTATGATTTGGGTTCCCAGTTTGCCCGTTTTTCTTTACTGCCACTTCGAATTTATTTGGCTCACTTTTTGTGTTATGGGACCTAGTTTCACCGGTAAGTTTCATATACACATCCAGAACTGACCCGCTGTAACATCAGGTTTTCCGAAGTGCTAGAACTGGATTTCAATTCACAGTGCATATATGTGGATTCTGTCTTCCTAGAAATCGATTCGCTGCATTCAGACAGAAAAGTTTTACTAGTCTGCACAACTAAAATGTCCCACTTGATGTGCTGCAAGGTCAGTGTGTTTGAAAGCGCATATCTGGAATGACGAAGTCCCAGCAGCCCTCACCACCCGGTCAATGGGGCTTGCACAAAACCGGAATCACCGTTTTATTACTTGGGGGTGAATGTACTTACGATTCTTCCTAATCCAAAAACTGCGCTGAAAATTGACTCTGGGCACCTACTCTACCCGTGGGGAACTCTAGTACAGTTATGGTGAAGTAATATTTACGAGCCGTCATAGTCAAATGAACAAACGTTTAACTGCGAATAATTCACCAACTTCATTGATTGTTCTACTTGCATAGCGACATCGCCTGGACCCCCAAAGCTCTGCGAGCCATTAGGTCGACCAAGTTAGGGAAAATTTTCCCGACAATCACGCTCAAATCAGCAAGTGTGAACTGTTCACTTAACCGCCGAAAAATCGACCGAGTTGATTAGTAACGAAGCCCTGACTATGGCTCAAATTAGTTCCAGCGGAGCGATGGTTGTAGCCATCGACTTCTGCAGAGTCGATTTCGACAGAGTCGTAAACGAATGAACGTAAATCGACCAAATCTAGTGTGACTAATCCGATGGTCTGCCGATTAGAAAAACGACAGGCCTCTGATACGGTTGACCTACATGGACATAGAAACAGTCCAACGACCTACGTGCAGGTTAAGCAAATAGTTTAGGCGGCCAACCGAATCCATTCATATTGGAGAGAATTTTCGGAAACATGTTCACCTTTGAAACAAAGCCCTCTCGTAGGATATCTATTTTTTTGAAAACAAAGTACGGTTACTTCCTCCATAGGTATACCAAGATAAGAAGTGAATACAGAGGTAAACTACTTTGTACAAACGAATGTCATGCTTTGAAAATTTGGTGGTCGTTCTATGGGTATAAAGGTGACTCAGTCGGTTGAGTTTCGACATGCTGTTAACCGGAAGAAATGAACTACTCGCATCCTACGAGGACCCTCCGTTTTGCGCTGCGCTGCTTCTTGTTGACAAATGAGCAACTGTAAGATTGAACGATCACGTTATCTGAAAAATGTTGTAGGTCACCTTTGACTACTATACTATAACTATACTACCATTTGGTCTTCATATGTACGCTTCCAATAAGGGCCGCGGGGGTTGGAAACCGATAAAAACGCCCGTCAGTTCGGATGTCACGGGATACTGCTGAGCTTAACTCCAGACCGGATCAGCGAATGTACTTCAGCATCATCACCCATCAAGTAGGTGAGGCGATCCCTAGAAAGCCCGCAATGCAAACTGTTTGCTTGGTGCCAGTTGACGTATATTTAATCAGTTTTATTTTGCGCCGTTTATAACTCAAAGCGGCTTGAACCATCTACTGTGCACCATAGAAATCGACAGGCAACTACTGTGTTCCCATTTTGAAGCGTTCATCAAGTGACAATGTTCCGAATTCGTTCAAATTACCCGCTTACCTAGGTGATGGTTCCGTTTGACTTAATAAACAGACGGTAGCTTTTGAGCACTGATGCAATGGACTGCTTGGGTCCATGTTTTTGGGGTTGATGGTCAGCAACAAGAGAGTGCTTTAACGAAAAAGTACAGTTACAATTACGCGCACGTAAAAGGTACGTAATGCTTCATATTGTGGGTGGCTTACTGAGTAGCTACCATCCGCGTGACTTATTGTGGTGTGACAGTGATACTACCAATGGAGAGGCACGCGAGTAGTATGTATCGTTCGTGGAATTTCGCTTTGCGTCTTTTGAAAAGGAGAGACCTGTTGCGGAATTCGTGGATTCACTTTGTAACATTTGCTCGGATTTGAGAGAGGAATGATTGGAGTCAATGAAGCTCCAGGAAAGTTCAAGAAGACGTGTTAAGGATAGTTTTGCTTCCCTGTCCAATGGTCTGTCGCCGTTCAGTTGCCATTTCCTAATAAATAACTCCGCAGAGAAGGCCTCCATTCTTTCAGTGGTAGTGGTTATTGTAGAGAATTGTTCTTTGAGCCAATTCGGTGGACCGCACACACCTAATCACTTCTAGATCCACATCAAATCATGAACCAGTCTTAGTTTGGAGGCGAATTAACAAGTGCGATTTCTTCATGAAGGAAACTACTGAAAACTCTCCGACAGCCCACGACCGGTTTTGCTCTGCTTGGGGCTCATCAGGTAGGCGCAGTCCCCGAGTTTAGATCAAACTTATGCTCTACTTGTTTCGCAATGTCTCGATTTCTGTTTATTGTCTTGTCTTTCGAAGGACCATGGCGAGTTGTGCTGCGTTTGTCACACACCAAAAACGCAAAAAGAGACACCCATGAGAACAAGTGAATATCACCTACGGAGTCTTTTACCCAAGCTTTTCTCTAAGCAACACAGTTCCCCAATCCTTCAAGTTGAAGTGTGGGTCAGTTACTAGAACCTACTCTTTAAAAGTTTACGCCAACGTACACGATCAAATTTATGTGCGAAATGTCGCGGCTTCGGATATTCATCGTTCTCTTAGCCCAAAAGTAGTTTCCTCTAGCATACTGTGATATTTGTGAACCAAGCATTCATCCCTGTAAACAAGGGGACCAAGCTTGGTGGAACGTTTTAATCATTAAAAAAATACTTGGACGAATAATCACTTTGTTCCAAGGACAGCCGGAGGAGACAACTTATCAGTCGGGTATAGTGCGTGGGTCAGAACCACACCTGAGATACTCTCTGTTTGAGTAGATTTGCGCTTCGTCGGATGATGAATATTCTTAACACCAAAACCTATTCCAGGCATTTTGAGTCTGACGTACGGACGGGAATTTCGGTATGAAGAGTATTCCAGTCGACACAACAACATCGATAGTAGTAGAGACATCAAACTGGGCTCTTCATTGTACGAACCTGCGGCCGGACTAGTTCGGGATGGCCTGTACGGCAAACCTCTACGCAACCGAGGTCCAACTCGAAATCGATCGGGACGGAGAAAACAGTAGTCAGCAGAGAAAATCCAGCGCACTGTCGCAGTGTATGTTGATCTATTCGCCGTGCTAGGCAATTGGCTTGCAACTGTTTCGTCACTGGCCATCGGAAGGTCATCAATGTTCCTTCAAGTTTGCTCTTCTCCAATTCATACTTTCCTCAGCGTTTCATGTGAGTGAGGCACATATGGATTCTGCCGGTCCATCGCCGTCAAGGATGTCAGTGGTCGAGTGACAGTACCCAACACCAAACCAATCCATACTCTGCTTCTCTGAGACCCATTAACCTTAGAGTTCCGATATCAAACGGTTGTTTGTGTAAGTCATCAGCAAAGAGAAATTCTGCTAGCGGAATACATACATTTGCAAGCAAATTTGATTTTGCGGGGGAGTTACCTGGAGCCCAGCTGGATCTCTCGTTTATGATGTTCTTAAGCCACTGAATGTGCTGCGCCAAGCCGCTTCGTGTTTCGAGATGTTGCGATGCTTGTATAAACGTTGCTGAGTTTTCAGCAACGTCATCATCATCATCACCATCATCATCGACATCATGACATCAGTGTTCAACACTGATGCTTCGCTGCCATACAACCTTGATTTAATTGGAAGCCT